CAAACATACAGACTCTAGATCAAACTGTTTGTTTCTTTCTTGAATTTCGGGATCTGAGGGTCGCGGGTTCGAATCCCCGTCCCACCAAACGTGCTCGCCCTTTCAGCCGTGGGGACGTTATAATGTGACGGTCAATCCCACTATTCGTTAGTAAAAGAGTAGCCCAAGAGTTGGCGGTGGGTGGTGATGACTAGCTGCCTTCCCTCTAGTCTTACACTGCTAAATTAGGGACGGCTAGCGCAGGTAGCCCTCGTGTAGCTTTGCACGAGTCGAGTGCCTTAACAACCTGGCCGTTTTGGAGAGGGTGTGGATATAACTGTAATAGCTTTTAGTAGTTATTCGAGCCTGTGATATGGATAAGTTGGTTGTTTTTATATTTACAAATGCTTCAATCTCAACAGCATTGAAATACGGTAGACATGCAATCCACCTTATCACGGTTAAAATAAGCTTAACACAACATTTAATTTAATTCCTCAGTTTTTTCATTTGTGCACGTAATATTTTGTCATTAACGTGAATTAAATTTGTTAGCAAGTGAAACAAGACAAAGAAATATGAAGAGCCTTACTTTATTGAAGATTAAATTCATTCAAGTGATTAAGAGTGCACCAAACATTCACTCAGTCATTGAACTTAAAATGCATCAAAAAACAAAAATATTACTTTAGACAGAATTCACCTTTAGTCTAAACTGTATATTCAGTTACCTTCTCTTTTCATTACACACATTAAAATTCATGTTTAGATGAAATCAATACAATTTTATCAAAAATTAAGTGAGCTAATTCTTACAAGCTGCAATAAAAGCAACAGTTTTATTGAATGTCACATATTAAACACACTTGTTGGTGTAACATGTTACACATGAATAAACAAAAAAGTTAATTCGTCATTATTTATGCCTAATCTAAGACTGTCTTAAACAGGATTCAAGTTACAACTGTCAGAAAGTTTCAGAAAACCATATCATTGGCTTTGAAAAAAAAAATGTAACATGAGAAACGAGTCTGTTTCAAAGTTATATTATATTTACACTATAGAAAGAATTATCACTTTCAGGTTTTTGTTTTTCATTAATATTTTCAGCCTCTGAATAAAAAGTATCTAAATTATTATGTTTACTGTCCCACTAACCTATTAACTAACTAGCAATTGTTAAAAGTAAAAGTAAATGAACTGTAACTTCCAACATTAAAGTTGATGTTACAAGTAATGCTTTTTTAGAACTCAAAAATAATAATAAAGATATAATAAATAAAATGAACATTTAAGAATCATCTATTTTTAATGCACACACACACACAGTCTTTTATTTCAGACTTATGTTGCATCATTAACAGAATGAGAGAAATATTCTTAGGAACATATCAACCCACTTCTATTATACGATTCACTAAGGTAACCATCTTCAAATTCACCGATTTTGGGCACGATGTCTCCAGTTCAGTGGTTTCCAAATAAGTGGGTTAGGTTAGGGTGTTGTCAGTGAAAAAAGTTTGGAAAGCACTGCTCTGGCTTGATTCTGGACTCAAAATGCCAGAGTCAATGACTACTTTTCTATCTAACTCTTTAATACACACATTTTTGTAGTAAAAATTACTTAGTATACCAAAAAATTAAGTTATACTTTGTATGTTTCTTGAAATTCAAATAAAAAGTACAACCAAACTATGAGATTCCCCAGGAATGCTACCTACTGTTTATTAACATAAAATGCTGAAACTTGTCACTGGACTTTACACAGAAACTTTTTTTTTTATCCTATCATTTAGAACAACTTGTGAATCCTTAAGAAAGAAATTCATGTAGGTTTTCTTGGTTTGGTTTGAATTTTGCATAAAGCTACACAGGGCTTTCTGTGCTCTCCATCCCTAATTTAGCAGTGAAAGACTAGAGGGAATGCAGCTAGTCATCATCACCCACCGCCAACTCTTGGGCTACTCTTTTACCAAGGAATAGTGGGATTGACCATCACATTATAACCCCCACATGGCTGATAAAGCAAGCATGTTTGGTGGAACGGGGATTCAAACCTGTGATCCTCAGATTGCGAGTCAAGCACCCTTGTAGCTTTTCTACTATCGTTTGTTTTATTTAACTTAAATAATTGCATAAATCTACTTATATTTTACAATGAATAGTGTTTTGTATTTTAAAAATGAAACATGCTAAGATCAAGCACTATATTCATACACTATTATTCAGAATAAAAGTTTTCTTTTATCTCAAAAAATAAATGGTAGAATAGTCCAAAAATATATTTTCTTTTAAACTAGATGGCACCACAATTTATGAGTAAAGTTCTAATGTTAGTAAAAGTAAAACTTTGAGAGCCTTGGACTAATAGATATCATTTCAGCCAAAGTATTGACAAAAAAATACCAATATAGTAAGAGATGGAAGACATTTTTTTCTATCTATATGTTATACAATCTGATAGTCTAACAGTATCAATTTAATGATTTTTTTTTACAAAAAGAAATATGTAAAACACTAGATATGTTAAAATAGACACATTGCAGGTACACTTGCCTAGGGCCATCCATTAACATCAGTAAAATAACTTAAACTCAATGATTAAACAGTTTTCAACCAACCACATTAATCCAACATTTACAAAACACTATCAATAACAAGTTCTTAGAAACCTATAAAATAAATATTTCATCTAACTAAACCCTTACACTTTTCTTTGCTATTTCTAAATTGTTAAAGGTCTTAAATAATTACCTCAAAAAAAAAAAAGGGAAAAAACTGACCACTCAGGCCCTTTCTAATTCCTTCAATTTAAGAAGACAGGACAAAGAGAAGTGAAGCTTCTTTCTACTCCAAGAACATTTCGGGATATAAATCATGAAAATGATATGCTTTAAAAAATGACTACATCGTATAAAATAATTTTTAATTTTTTTTTAATAGGGCATTGTACTTATGTACAAATTTGGAAGAAATACACATCTGTATCTTTCTTGCTTATAAGTTTAAATCATGACCATGTGTACAATGTACACTGGAATGTGACATAAAAAAGTAATGAGAAGGAAAAAAAAATCAACAAAAGAAATACCTGAAACCCAGTTATTTTATTATATGCTATATTTAAACTGTGTCTTGTTTCCACTAAACCAAAATATGTAAGCATTAAATGACACACACACTATACATTCACACATTTGCACTTATTTAAATATAATTATCCAATAACTGCAGTGAGGACTTTCCTATGAATTTCACACTATACATTCACACATTTGCACTTAATTAAATATAATTATTCAACAACTGCAGTGAGGACCTTCCTATGAACTTCGAGAATATTTTTGATATATTTTAAAGAGAAACAAAACTTGTGCATAAAGAATACAGAACATCCAGCCACCTATAAACTTCTATTAAAATAATACAGAAACTTCTAGCTACCCATAAAACCTGGTATGCAAAAAATGCAGAAACATTTAACCATTCACAAAATCAGTATGCAAAGAACATACAAACATCCTTCCAGTCATAAAAGCATATCTACTCTGGCCAGTTTATTCAATACATCCGAGATAAGAAGTTCCATTAGCAAATAGTTATTTTTCAATGAATAATAGAAACAATTTAGTAGATAATTCATTACAAAATGAAATTTAATAAAATATATTTTGAAAACAATGCACACAAATAAGTAAACTCTGGATTGTAGCTTTATTATTTAGTTTAAATATATAAAAAAAAACACCTGAAAATTGTACTCTTCTTAACAAAAATCTTAGATTATTGTTAGAATATTCAATAAATGAATACACTTATGTACCAGAAGTGGAAATTCTTGAACTTAGAACATTAGACTAAGCTGATCAGATGTACATTCTGATGTACATGTTAAACTGTTTGAATTATTCCAATTTGGGTATTTCAGTGGTCACTAAATTTTTTAATTAACATTTTGTTGACTAGAAATACTTTTACACAGAAAGGAATTTTATTTAAATTACAATTGACAACCATCATCCCTAGTTAAAAAGTTCATCAGAATTTCACTAAAACTATAGTTTTTTTACCTATTGCTTTCACATCAAGATATAATTATTTTCATTTTCCACATCAAGTAAAAACTCTAGCATATTTTGCAATAATATAAATTCAATAAAGTATGGAATAAATCAATAACTTTAAAATGTTAAACAATACTCAAGTTATTTTTACGACTGTCATAAATAGTTATAACAGAATATAATTTAACCAGTGGTGCTTATTAATATATTCTAAAACATCAATTTTTTTTTACACCAATCAGTGATCAATGGGAATGATAAGACTGTATGGAAAAGTATTCAATCAGTGGAGCTTGTAAGTGGCATAGGTAGCATGTCAATGACTCTTGTGATCAGAAAGCTAAGGCACTGTATATCTGAAACAAAATATGTATTATTTTACTTATTTGTAACAAAAAAGAACATTTTTGTTTAAATACATAGCATACATCAAAATTTGTTTGATTTTTTTTTGTCTCATGAAATACAATATTTACAGTATTTCCGATATCATTAATGAATACTTTCTCTTTAACAGCATGGTTAATGTTTAAAAAAGAAATCAACATATTACTTGTATTGTGATATCTTTCATGTTCATAATAAATCAAGCGATAGTTTTGTGTTCTGGTCAGGAGAAGTAATGCAGTAGTTTTGGCTGTAAAATAAGCAATAGTTTAGGAAAGTCATGCAGCAGTTATTGATTACATAATAAATCAAGCGATAGTTTTGTGTTCTGGTCAGGAGAAGTAATGCAGTAGTTTTGGCTGTAAAATAAGCAATAGTTTAGGAAAGTCATGCAGCAGTTATTGATTACATAATAAATCAAGCGATAGTTTTGTGTTCTGGTCAGGAGAAGTAATGCAGTAGTTTTGGCTGTAAAATAAGCAATAGTTTAGGAAAGTCATGCAGCAGTTATTGATTACAAGATGTACAATTGCAAAGAAAGGTCAAGCAACAATTAGAAGTGTGAATGGCCAATTTTTCTTGCATTTTTATACTTGCAAAAATATCTGAAATGAAAAAAAAAAGAATGTTTCACTAAAATAGTTTTTCCTAATGCACTACGATATTTTAAATCATAACTTAATTATATTAGCTGAACAGTTATACACATTAATTAAAAGTGCCAAATTATGTTTGTATGTAATGTTTAGTTGATATCTATTCAATTTAAAGACTAATTATTGTTTGTTTGTTTCGTTTTTAGCTCAAAGCTACACAATGGGCTATCTGAGCTGTGCTTGCCATGTGTATCAATACTTGGTTTTTAGTATTATAAGTCTTCAAACTTACTGTTGAGCCACTGAGGAGCAAACTATTTAGTGAGCTTCATTATTAACTATGCATTCAAAACAGAGATAACAACTGAGTTAAACCTAAAACTACAAATTAGAATGATAACTTAATTATAGCATTAACATATTGTGTTACATTGTTATGCACGTTCAAAAATACCCACTGAAAAAGTTAATCAATTTCATTATTGTTGTGAAAAATTAACAATATAGCAAATTTTGAAAGTTCTTTTATTACTAAAATACAAGAGCATACATTTGATGGATTTACTGATGCAAAAAACTTAATATACTGAAACATCACCTAAAAGGATTACCTAGTCTTTTAATATTATTTAACTGTAATTTCTCAAATTTCACATTTACATCAAAATATTAACAATGGAAACTGGATATTTGTAATTATGACTTAAAGATATTAATATCTCCTGACTACTGGCACGAAAAATATCTACTGTTTCAAACTTTATTCCAACAAAACTCAAGAAAAATGCAAGTCTTATAAAACAAGATCAAGAAAAATGTGGTCTATGAGTGTTATTTTATTATTACAAATATGAACATTTTAAAACCTACAGGTATTTTATATATTATAGACAAGTGATTAATTTTGATAGCCAATCCAATACTATTTTCTTTCAGCATCTTTTAGAGCAGTTTTTGATCTATTCAGAATGAAATATTACTAACCATGATTGTTATAGATCTGGCCTCACAGCTCTTCTTCTTCATTTACAGTTCAAATAATGCTACCTTGCTTTGTCTGTAAAATAAAGTTAAGAAACTTTATGGTTCTCACATAAAGACTCCTGTTGGTCATTACAGTATTTTTATTTAAAGAGAGAACAAATTTAGCTCACTAATTATTTTAATTTTACAGGTTTTTATTAACAGATAATATAATATTTGTACAATTGTTTATCTAAGAAATAAAAACTTTTTAAAACCAAATCATTAGATACATGTTTGTAAATAATAAAGCAACATTTAAATGAGAGGTAATCTTTTAGGTTTGTTTGTTTTAGAGTAAAGCCACATTGGGTTGTCTGCTGTGTTCACTGTGGAGAATTGAACCCTGGATTTTAGCAGTGTAAGTCCATAGACTTACTGCTGTTCCAACAGTGGACAATCTGTTAGGTGCCCTTAAATACATTAATACTCTATACGTACAAAACCTATACTTTCATTAAAAAATATGCTTTAAACTTTTGAATGTCCCTACCTTCACAATTTTCAAATAGGTCTAAGGTATCCAATGAAATCCCCATTGAAGTGTTGTCAAAAAGCTAAAGTGATGAATAGAATAGTACAATTTATTATTTTATAAATCAAAATACACAGAAATTTCACAAGAATGACTAGCACATGTATGGGTACCATGATGATCAAATACTTGAATGTAACATCAGAACGTCTGTGCATGAGTAATACATTACAATTACACTTAAACTTGTACATTACTTATTTTTGGAGATAAACCTGTTTCTACTATCAATTGTCATTACTTTCATGCAATTTCTATTAATAACCACAAAATTCTCATTTCATCAAAGAAGTGTTTAAAAATTTATCACAGTGTCAATAAACATTCTTAACCATTGTGTAACGATGTTGTCATAGGTGTACATTCTTCTTAGCCCTGATCAAATTTTATAAAATAAAACAAGAACTCAACAGTAATAAATATAAAATTAAACCTACTTTCAAAGGATTTGGTAAGACTAGTATTTGCAAATGCTACTTCAAGTTACTGGTGACTACAATATTATTTGGAGTTTTAATATTGATTTCCTAGTAGTAATTCGCAGCTTTTCCAAGTCAAACCAATATTTGCTTTGAATACTCACTAGTAAACCAAAGAATAAGAATACACTTAACTTTAATGAAAAATGTTGATTTTACTTAGTTCTTCATACATATACAAATTTTATACTTGTTTTAAAATAAAATATTCTTACATTTTCTGCCTTAAAACTATACTTGTTTTAAAATAGAATACGCTTACATTTTCTGTCTTAAAGATATACTTGCTTTAAAATAAAATATTCTTACATTTTCTGCCTTAAAGATATAGTAAGCAAGAAAAAGGACACATGATATTTCTATTATATTTAATTACTAGAGATTCTCTTCACCTGCCAGGTTGTGCTCTAGTCCATTTTCTTAAGCTTGTTGAGAGAAATAGGTTTGAAATGAACCCTAATTTTCAGCTGTTCAACATTTAAAGGATAAAGTACCAAGGTCACCTTACAACCACCATAACACACACACACACCAGTGATTAAAACTATCAAGTTTTCTTTTGCTAGAATCTAAACCATCAAGAGGACATACATAATTACTGTAAAGTAATATTAAGATAATCACAATAGGGTTATGCTCTAATATTATTCATATTGAATAGGATCATTTATTAATATACATTTCCCTACAATAAGTCTTAATGTGGAATCATAAATGGAATCCCAGTACTGCTCTTGGCATTAACAACTGCTACCATTCTATGAGAAATTCTGTCAACTACATTCCAAGTAAGTATTTGTTTCCACTTATTTCCACTGTTGTTTTAATAGTTTAGCTAACTCATGATGGCTAAGGATCTATGATGTAATTATTTGAATTAGCCACTTCAAATGATCCCCAAGGCATTCTATAGCATTTAATTCTTGATTTTGATTAAGTGACTCCAAGACTTCAATTCCTTTAGTTTAAATCAAGAAAGGGTTACAAACAATTTTTGGTTAAGATCATTACACTGCTGGAAAACACATACTGGCCTGCTGATAAAAAAAATTCCCCACAGCATTATGACATGTTCATTTATAATTTATTCATATCAATGGGCATGCACCTAGACATGCAGGTTATTCAAACATAAGTTAAATGCCCAGTGTACAGAAGCACCCCATAGCAGTCTTGTCCAATCCTTTACAGCTAGGATGATGTAATTACTAAGGAGTTGTTCATCTGTCTGCATCAAGGACCATGTCCAATCCTTTACAGCTAAGATGATGTAATTATTAATGAGTTGTTCATCTGACTGCATCAAGGACCATGTCCAATCCTTTACAGCTAAGATGATGTAATTACTAATGAGTTGTTCATCTGTCTGCATCAAGGACCATGTCCAATCCTTTACAGCTAGGATGATGTAATTACTAATGAGTTGTTCATCTGTCTGCATCAAGGACCATGTCCAATCCTTTACAGCTAGGATGATGTAATTACTAATGAGTTGTTCATCTGTCTGAATCAAGGCCCATGTTCAGCCCTAATTTTAAAAGTGGGTGAGGTGGATCATTCCATGAAATGATAACCATCAAGATTTCAGATCTGATGCGCTCCACACCAATCAAAATAATTGAGAGCATACTTAAGACTAATAAATGGTTTGCATGTCCCAAGTTCCTTAAAAGTAGCAATGGAAAGCATGTAACACAGGCCTCACAAATGGTGGTGAAACTGGATGCAGTAAAGCCACTGATTTTGTTACAAAGATGGTTTCTGTTACTTTTTCATCATCCCAACAAACTAATGCTTGTTATGCTGTGACAGAACTTTTAGACAACCAACACCAATGAATACATTTACACACATAAACAAATACATTATTACATATATCAATTTTGCACATTTCCTTGAGCTTTTAATTCACAACCTGTAGTACTATTATTCAGCCTAACAGCTCTTTCATATGTTTACTCACACTTTCATTCTGTCTTTTTACTGTTTTTTTTATTATGAACAAATCTATCACTTAAATTAATTTTCATACAGCAAACATCGTGGTCAAAACGCATTGCAGTGAATGCATGCAGTATACAACAGTAAAAAACACATCATCTCAAACTATAGCTGACAAGCAAATAATTGACAAATGAGAAAAGTGTTTCCAACTTAGTTTCTTGTTTTTATTCATTTGTTTAATTTTATGGTTATTCTTTGCATTATTAATTATCAGAAATAGCTCTTTTACTATTTCTAGTACTTATGAATAGATCTGGGTGTATGGATAATACTGGTTGGAAATTATGGTCTAATTATACCAAAAAAAGTAATGATAATCTAAGTACTACTTTTGTCAATAATGTAATGCTTACAATAACTTAACCAATGATTACAATAAAGTAATAGCAATGATAATTTTTTCTTTACCTTTGAAACTGTTTGAGTGGCAGCTACATTATTTTTCTTAAGACAACCAACCTCGATTAGGGACTGTAGCTTTTGAAGTTCTAAGAGAAGGGATCTAAAAAAAAAAAATAACAATCAAGAATAAATACCAAAATACAAACTTGTGTAAATGCTGCTTTTGAATATAACTTTTAAGCCCTCATTTAGTTTAAACCAGCATAAAACACATTGAATACTGAAATCATAAACATGTCACTTTCATTTGTAAAAATATTTATCAGGCATCTAAGACCTTTTCTGTATTTTTTTTTAATGCAGGGAGGTGTTCTTGACACCAGTTCTGGTAATAGACTAATGCTGTGCAATGTAATTTTCACTGTGGAAAGCCTTTGCATAATACACTGAAATCAATGATGTTCCATTTAGGATCGCAGGGGGACCATTTTTGAAAGTGTATAAATAACTCCACTCACAAGCTAGTTGGACCAAACTAGGCACACATGCTCAAGTACTATGGGCAGGTATCCGAAATTTTTTTTTTTGGGGGGGGGATGACCCCTCTTGAGGTAACTATAGAAGTAATTAGAAATAATTGAAAAGTTTCATTAGGACATTGGGGCCTCGGTATATCATTGGGGGGGGGGGGGGCTTTGAACCATGCATCAAAGCACAGGTAATTTATGCTAGTAGTATAAATTCCTGTTTGTACTTGCACTATGTAGAGGATCTGACCTGCTGACCTGAATGTGTCACCGAATGCTTTGTCTCGCGAAGTAATACCTTATTGGGAACTAATGCATACAAGGAGGATATTTCACGTGTAAAGTGGTGTCGGCATGTTATAGTATGCAGAATTTATTTTTGAATTTTTCTTGTTCCTCCAGTTATTATCTTACCACAATAGCTGTAACCTGTAACCATCATAAATCACTTGGAAAAAGTTTTTCACATGTTGTACCATTTTTTAATGATAATAAGTTGCCCAATTTTGTTGCAATCACATGATTTATCTAATGTGACAACATACTTCCATTTATCATATAGACATATTCACACAGCTTTTGATAGTTGGCCATATATTTTTAAGCTATATACATGCATAGTTTAGTTACATAGCTTAGAAGAAGCTTATGAACACATCACTTATACACCTGTTTCAAATCTAAATCCATGTGAATTATCTTGTTTACAGTTCCAAGATGGATTTGTACTTTAGTTGCATATTACTGCTGTGTTCTTGGATTACTTCTGGTAACACAATATTGAATTTTCTTTAGTATCTCCAGTGTGTGACTGCTAGCCAGTCATGGAGTAGCCTTATTTTCAGGCTGGAATCACACTTTCCCTTGTTCTACCAATAAAGTTCAACATTGCAAATATCCTTTTAATTTAAACACTAAAATTTTGTTCTTTGTATGCTTTTATAATTGTTGAATGGGAAAAACTTTACCTAAAGAAAGTGTTGCTATGTAACCTTTCCAGAAATGGTTAATTTTAGGTTCCAACTGTACCTTTCAAGTCACAAAATTTCAACTGAATTGCAACAAAAGAATCATAGCTTTTATAATTACAGGCCACAATAGTGACCAGGAACTAGGTGACTGGTTGTGCAAATTGTTACTGGTAAAATATAACACACGTCTAGAATTTTTAACATTATTTTTTACATTTATTTATTATATATAAACTTTCTGTATTAATTTTTTTGATGTACATTACATAAAAATCTATTCAAAATGACACTCCGTAATTTGTTTGTCACTGAATAAGCACTTGATACATACAAACACACATAACAAGTTACATTATGTCAAATTATGGTACATACTTACTTATTGGTAGTCTCTAAAGACTCCACTTTCTTTTTGAAGTCATCATTTTCACTTGTAAGCTTCTCCATACTAATAAACAATTATCAAAACTAAAACACCTTCCTTATTACTTAATAAAATAAATAAAAGAACTGTATAAATCAAATTCAGAGAATGACTATCTTCAAAAAAATGAATTAAATATTGTGGCTAACACTACACAATATCACAATTTGCTAAATATCAGTCATAAAACATTCAGATTGAATACAGTATTGCTTTCTAAGCACATAAACTCTAAATAAAAAAAACTTAAAGGAGATTGGTAACATTAAATACATAACAATTATCGACCTTGTTACAACTTCCATTTCTTATGACCAAAATAATTAAAAAATAACTATACAACACAAACAGCATTTACATTTAAAATTAACTTTTTTTCTAAAAGACTAAAACGAGAACATGAAAGTGAGTAGTTTAAATTTACTTGAGCTTTGGAATACTACCATCAAGAGGTTCTTTAAAAATCAAATCCTACAGCATTAAAAAAATGAGTGCTAAAGACATACCTTTTTTCCAAAGTATCTACATATTCTTTTTTTTTCCTTCTCAAGGCATGAAAGAGTTAGAGAAAAATGTCATTAAATACATTGATAAAATTTATTCTATTTACAGATTTCAGCACAAGAGAGTCATTATATAATTACTGGGAGTTAAAATATTGTATTTTGTTCTGCTCATTCTAAGTATGGGAATATAGTTTTCACTAAAATATATAACACAGTTACCCTATAAATATCATTTCATAATACAGAAATAAATTGTAATTTAAAAATGATAGTCATTTTTGGTGAACTAAAAAAGAAAACTAGAAACAGTTAAAATACAAAAATGTGTCCGTCATTATCAACAGACATGGACTATTTTTGGTAGGACAATGAGGAATAATGCTTTACATATGTTTACCAACTTTCATCAAAATCTGATCATTTTTGACTGAGTTATAGAGCAAAAATACTGTGAAAAATTGGTCCCCGTGTTAACAGATAAGTGTCTTTTTATTTTTGTGACCTTGACCCTCAAACACAAATCACTTCTAAGTTGGATCATAGTCCAAATGTATACCAACTTTCACCTAAATCCATTCAACCATTTTTAAGAAACCTTGCTGACAAACAAACACGAACAGGGTTGAAAACATAACCTCCATCCACCATTGGTGGCAGTGGTAAAAAATATTTGTTACCATTATTTTCACTTCAAATATGAAGTTAAGGTATCATATACCCTTTATATAGTGTTATCTAGGTGTTTTTTTTTTAATCAGAAAAACAGCTTCATTCCACACTTTTTGTGTGAAAATATATTGAAATAGGTACACACATATTCTGGCACATGTTGTGTAACACTACCACTGTGTATAATTTGCATATTATACAAATAAAGAAATACAAAAGAAATATCTTATGTTCTTGATAAGTTCTACAAATATGTCTGAATGCTCCTGAAAATAGGTCCAGACTTTGATGGGATGTGAAGAATTATTCTGAAATAAGGAAAACTAAAAATTAATTCAAAGTCAAATTACAGCACTAATGAGTATGCCCTAATTAGGACATATGCTACCATGACTCTTTAATGGTCTTTTAATAAAAACCTAAATCTTATCAACTTTACCTTAGTACACACTATAGGTACACTAATAATACATATTTATGCCCATTGTGAAATCTATAGCATCAACAGATCTGAAGTTATGAGTAAAAAAGCACTATGACTATGATGATTATGAGATGGCTGGATTATTAAGATTTGCTTTTTCTTCAGTTTTTACTAACATAGATTTAAGCAGTATTCCACATCTTGAACTGTTGATAGTTAGAAATAAGAACAAATAAGATGACTGCATTAATTCTCAGCTTAAGAAAGAACTGGGAAGTTTAAAGAATGATAAGGCCCCTGGACCAGATAATATTTCCCCAAGGGTTTTGAAGGAGTTTAAGGATTGGATATGTGAGCCATTTGCTACTATTTTTTTTGTAAGTCCTTGAATAGTGAGAAGGTATCAGAGGATTGGGAGTTAGATAGTGTCACTTTTTTTTTCAAAGGAGGTAATAAAAATTGTCCCAGTAATTATAGACCCACTAGTCTTACATCAGTTATGGGAAAAGTTTTGGAAAGTCTGATAAAAGATGCATTGCAAAGTCATTTAACATAGTTTAGAATTTAATTGGATAGTCAACATGGTATCACTGAGAGAAAACCTTGCCTTGCAAATCTTTTAACATTTTTTGAAAAAGTTACTGCTTATGTAGATGAGGGTAAGGGTGTGGATTTGGTGTATCTGGATTTTTAGAAAGCATTTGACAAGGTGCAACATAAAAGGCTCTTAAAATTTTTTTCCTATAGGTGTGGGGGATTAGTTAACAAATTGGATAGATGAATGGCTGGGATGGAAGAATAGAGTTCAGTCAAACTGGATTAATGTTACAAATTGGGTACCTCTGGGTTCAGTCTTAGGACCTTTGCTCTTTGATTTACATCAATGACATAGATGAAGGAATAGTCAATAAATTACTTAAATTTGCAGATTGTATTATGATCTTGGGTGTTGCTAGCTGTGAAGAGGATGCTGCTGATTTACAAAAGGATTCAGATCATTTAATTAGTTGGACAAAAAAATAGCAAATGGGTTTTAATTAAAATAAATGCATGTGGGATATCATGATTTGAATTATAACTATAATCTGGATGGGAATAACTTTAACGGTATCATAAAAGAAAGGGATTTTGGTTTAATAGTTGATCAGTCTCTTAAGCTATCCAAGCAGTGTGCTGTTGTAGTGGTAGGGCAAATAACATTTTAGGTAGATCCACAGAAATACTGAATACAAGTCTAAAAAGATTATCATTTCATTGTATAGGTCACTGTTAGGCCACATTTACACAGTGCAGTGTTTTCTAAATTTTTCTTTTCATTTCAAAGCACACCAGGAAATACTAAAACAAAATCTGACAAACTAGTGATTGTGGCACTCATAATAAAGTGAGAATAAATGCACACACAGAAATGTATGAAAAAGAAATGTGACAGATAAAATGGCTTGAGATTGTATTTTTACTTATGTTCATCACATTGAATCTGTAATTCTAATATATTTCACTATAACTTGCTTCTTATGTAGTTGTAGAAAAATGGAATTTTTGTAGCACACAGACGGGTCATTTGTGATGCACTAATATGCCTTCTGGGCAAAAAGTTTGACATTTAATTACTCAATATAAGGTGTTCTACTATAATCACTTTGCATATTACAATACCATTAAGAATTTCACGATTAACTTTTAGTGTTGTATCTGGAATACAATATCTAATAAAGCAGTTTGTGATGAAAACTTGGACTATGATAATATTTCAGTTAAATAAATTTAATACAATAACACTTCATTTACTCACAGCAATAATTCTTATTAACTTACACGTCAATTAATAATGAATTTAGGTTTTGAAATACAGTACAGAGAATTTTATGTACACTTACATTTATTGGAATTTGTCCACACAGGACTGTATCAATAACTTTTGTGAGAAGGTGACATATAATTGTGGATAGTACAACATAATTCAACAAGTATTGTGAACATACAAGTAGTGGACCATGATCATAAAAACTTAGATAAAACTGGCAGTTGCTCAGTGGCCAAAATTTCAAATTGGCACTAAGTTTCAAGATATTGCTAACTATAATTGTAACAAAAATTAATTAGTATAATATTGTAGCCTGATATTTAGTGATCACAAAAAGTGGCACAACTTTTTCCAATTCCCTAGGCCAATGAGCTTCTTCAAACCACTTCCAAGGTAACTGTACAACATGATAACCAAAACACTGTAATTTGGTTATAAGACTCAGCTTACTTTTAACCTTTGAGAAATTTTTGTTAGATGCACCAGGATATTCTTTTGCAATTATTCTGTATTCCTTAATATTTTCTGATTCAAGGACACCAAACATCTATGAAAAATTACACTTCTGTAATAAATGGGAGCCTCTAAAAAATTATGACTCCTGTAACATCAGATGTATATTTCCATTTTTTGTATTGCTTTTTCAACATTTTTCTAGCACCTATAGAACCTTTTAAAAAATTTTTTTTTCTTTTGCATTTATGATTGATATAAGAGTATCATAGAAACATTTATTGACAATATTAAGTACCATACAGCTTAACCCTAACCAAACTAAAGCAAAAAACGTACACGATTTACAATATTAACTTATCTCTGTATGATTTATCGAGTATAGGTCGTACTTAATAAAAGCTTAACTACTCGTAGGTCTAAGACAAGTGGACTTACAATTACAAGTTACAACTTACACTGAGTTGCAAATTTCGGTGTCTGCGATTAAAATTTTGTAATATTCTAGAAATCTTGTATTTAAAGTACTGTTACTATAAAGATGCTAATTTGACCGCAAATGTTGTGTGGATTTCTGCTAGTAAATAACTAAACCCAATAAAGACGTTACCTTATTTTTTATTTTTCTACGAATTTTTTTCAGTGACCTTTCTTCTGCTTTAGACAGAGGAAGCCTCTGAGGAATAGGATAGCCCTCTGCCAGCAGAGTGCGCTTTTCTTCCTCTGAAAGTACTAACACTCCCGTTGCACCTTTCTGAAAATCATGATTATTATTATTATTTTACCATCGAGCAGCATCTACCACATTTTAACACAAAATGAGGATTTATTAAAATTATTTCGTAACAGAATAAGTTCTAAAACCAATTAGTAAGTACTTCAGTAAAGTTTCGTATAATATTTATATGCTTAAAAGTTAAAACCTGACAGGATCACCACGTTTGTCACATTTTAACACGAATAAAAGAATACGAATTATAAATCTGATACTACAAATTTTAATACGCAGCGTCACATGCCTTGAAAATATAAACAATAGATGTGACATCAGAGGTTTACTTGTACAAACCTTCAGCAATAATCATAGTCTTTAAGTTTAACGGTCTAAACGTGCTTGGTATGTTTCTCACAACACTGAGAGTTCAGGAATTTTTTTATTTGTATACATTATATACATAAAAAACAAAACTATCTTTATATGAGAAACGTATACTCTGCGCTAATAACAAAGATAAAACAACAAACATTATAACAGTTGGCAGAGTCAAACTTGATATTAGCAGATAAGGTTAAAAAAGAAACCGAAAAACGTACGCTCTACGAACATTACAAGTTAGAAGGACACCTGTTAATAATATTGAACAATATGACAAAACTATCTTAGAAACGTATACGAGTACTCTGCGCTAATAACAAAGATAAAACAACAAACATTGTAACAGTTGGCAGAGTCAAGCTTGATATTAGCAGATAAAGTTAGAAAAGAAACCGAAAAACGTAAGCTCTACGAACATTACAGATTAGAAGGACACCTGTTAATAGTATTGAACAATACGACTTCATAAAAGGCACAGACAAAATTTAATTTTAAATGAACGTACAGGCAAACGTGCACGTGTCATATTCATAAATTAAGTATACATGTGCAGGCATACGAAGCAGAATCAAGCTAATAAGACTAATATTAATTTGAACATATAATAACATAGCAATGAAGTAAAAAAAAAAAGAAAAAAAAGATAGTTATTTTTATTGTAATCAATAGCTGAAAAATATTTGGCGTGCATTTTTATATCTTAAATTAATTGTTCTAAGTGAAATATTCATTAGCTATTTACACAAGACCATGCAACTTATATAGAAACTTCTAGCTACTATAAACACATACACCATTGTAAAAAAGAAAGAAATATGTATATGTAGTTATCTATACGCCTATATGTATACACGAATTTTCAACTAGTAATTTATAAAATGTGAATAGTCGATTCAGATCTGAATACAAGTGTTGAATCGACTATTCACATTTTATAAATTACTAGTTGCACGTAATGTTTAACAGTTATATTATAATCGAGTAAATACGCTAGAAACAAGTCAACTTTATGTACCGTCAAAATTTTATACAAAATTACAACTTTTTGCTCTTGTTCTCATAAAACACGAATAGAATGTTACTGTAAAGAGATAATAGCGTTAAGCCTTCATAAGGATATTATAATAACTTCCACAGACAAAGAAGAAACAAGAACCCAAGTTCAGAAAAACAGCTTTGACTGCTAAATTCGTATTTAAGCTATTGTTTGTTTCCTGATATCCGTGCAAAATTACAAAAGGACTAGCGCAGCCAACTGCTGTTGAGTTTTTTTTTTACGTAGTGGGATTCAAAAGGTGGCCTTGCATATCCATAATCCAACTATTTACCCCAGTAGCGAAACTAGTACAATTAGTAAATTCATTTATACATCTTTAAAAATCCCCACTTCCACGACATGAGGTTTTTGAATATAATATAACTTACAATATTTTTGTTTGTTGTGAAGCGCAAAGTTATAGAATGGGCTATATGAATCCTGTATTTTTAGCATCACAAGTCCTTACTTCTGAGCCGCTGGAGGAGTGTGTGGAATGGAATTTGGAATTAAGCACAAAGCTATACAATGGGCTATCTGTACTCTGTCCACCACGGGTATCCAAACCCGGTTTCTAGCGTTGTAACTCCGCAGACATTCCGCTGTGCCACAGGGGGGGGGGGCAAGGGGAGTGTGTGTGGGGTGGTGGTGGTGGGGCTTATGGTAAGATCCAAAAAATATTATTCTAATTTATACACATCTGTCAACATTGTACAGTTACACGAAAATGAACACAAAGATGGGGTGTCTGGGGATTACCTCTGGACAAAAGTGTTGATATTTAAGTTAAAAATTAAGCATTCTAAGGCATTTAAAATTGTGACAGCAACAAACATCTCATTTGATTAAGGTAATGAAATACCTAGACGCATAGTGCTGTCAAATAATGCTGTTGGGTTAAGTATAACAATTTCCATCATCTGCACATGAGCAATTAAAACGGAGATGACAAGTTGTTATTGTTCCTTAGATTTCCGCGATCGCGAATGGTAGAAATCGGCTATATTCTACTACTGTCATGACAAAGACGGATGAAGATTTGAAAAATAAAACAAAACAAATAACCTTTTCTTTTTGTTCTTTTGATTTTATCATCGGGAAATTTGAGACGTTTGTCAGTAAGCTAAGAATGAGGGCAAAGTATCAGGAGTTGATAGGTATGTGTATATATGTATTTTATTGCAAACGAATTAATCTTAAGTTGTCGACTTCTGTCTTAAACAAAGCAAGTGGGAATCCTCAATAGCCATGGCACTTGAAATCTTTTTAGGCAGGATTAGAGTAAATTAATCTATGAATCTTTTTGTCCTTTTTATTAGCTATATTTTTGTGCTCTAGCAATATCAAGTGTGGGGCGCGCACATGATTCTATTTTATTACTCATCAGGATCTCTATCAGCCTACCCTTAAACTGAAATTCTTTTATACAGGATTAGAATAAATTAATCTATGAGGCCTTAGGCGTGGTCAATCGAAAGGGTTTGGCCTCCTGAGTACAAAACTATAATTCGATCTCAAATCAGTCAAGAGATGGCGGAGCTATGAACTAAAAGTTTGTACTTGAAAAAAAAAAAAAATCAGAGCCATTCTGTGAGCCGCTATGCCGCTGCTAAAAAAATAAACACAACAAATTTAGAGAAAATTTGGTACTATTTATGATTCACACTTTATTTATTTATTCGATTAAAAATAATACTTACCGATTGATTATTTATAACTAATGAGGAATTTGATCGTTTTAAACATGATGGCATAACGATTATGGGTGAAGGGAAGCCACTCTTATTGGAAGAGGAAGAAGTTGAGGAAGTGCTGACAGTTACCGTTGGTGGCGGAGATGGGTTACTTAAACAACGAAAAGGCGATAAACTTCCATCAGAATCGCTACTGTTGCTTGAGGGGGGAGTCGGGGGAAGAGAAAATCCTGGTGAACAAAGGGAAGATGAGTACTTTTAAACAACACGCTTAAACCAAAATGAAAATAGAAATTTCCAGAAGCAAAGCTCAATTTAAAGGTTGTTTATATGTCGTTTTTTACTTATTATCTAAATGCTAATAAAAATGCACTTATCTAGTAGCTCCCATTATAGCCACACGTGTTCGTAAATATCAAAGGTCATTCCTCCATAACTGCCACGAACGAAACTGTTCCCACGCGTAAAAGTATTTGTACGTGATCTTACCTTTAATACATTTCCAAATACGCCCTTTTTTGTATAAAATACGCATTGCAAGCAATGATGTTTTCCATCTTTCTTGTAGAACTCTTGAAAATAAGTATTGCATTTAAAAATTCGATTAAAGTAAATAAGAAAACATACTATCTGTTCGTGGCAAAAAAAAAAAAAATCGCCTCCATTACTAGTAACGGCTAAATGCCCAATTAAGAATGAATTTATTAATGACTTCCAGAAAATTTCTATGCAGAGTCCCCTTCCAAACGATGGAGTGAGTTTGACATTTTTTAAAAGGAACATTAAAATTATGTGGACAAAAATGTAGTGAAATTTAACAATAACTGAATAAGCCTGTAAATGAAACTTAAAAACTCACACGAGAACTGCAGCAACATAAATATAGCAAATGAGACAAGTTTTTCCAATTTTTTCCTGTTTAACTTGTCTACTTTTATATCACACTTTTACAGGTTTTGCGCTTTCACGCAATTCGTCACTTTTTTTATATCACATTTTTATATGGCTGATACCTTTATTCTGACGTGGCTGTTTTCGTATATGTAAAACTACATTAATCCAATAAACCTTCCAGTAACGTTACCACTTCATTCTTAGCCAGGACAGCAAGGAAAGTGTTAACACTTTAAGTACAATAAGTACTCTTATTGCAATAGTATATTATGTCATAACTTTATTCAACATATATATAGTTTGTTGCTCAAATTAGCATTTTCTAAACCGAAAGATACTCGTTTTCAAATTTATTTTAAAGACAGTTTTACACAAGTGACATAACTGTACGTCAACTTATAATCGAAAATACAACAGCAAAATATACTTTGAAAAAATATTTATATCTTAAAGACATGTACCATGAAAATTACGTGAATTTTATTTAAAGCTTTGCAAGAAGGCTAGTTATGAAACGAAAAATACAATTGGTTTATCGTAACATTAAATGTTATAGATTTAACTCACCAGAAGTCTCCAGTTTAATGTTTATATTGGGCATTAACAAACGGCGACGTTTGGCGCCTTTGACTCCAATTTCGGAATTTTTAGCTAGCACAATGGTTGGTTTTTTTAGTAGACTCTGCTGTGCAGGACCCGTTGTTCGACAAGTGTCGTCTGGTGATATGTAGGGAGGATATTTAGTGGCGGGACTCGGGGGAGAGGACAGTGGTTCCTGCTTCACAGTGATTTCTGTCTCACCAGTTGCAGATGTCAGTGGTATCGCAGGAAAACATTCGGACACTACATCTGAATAAACAAGGAAAAAAAAATATTTTATCATAACTGCTCGACCTGTGTAACACACTTACTTATTAACTGCACTATATTTTAACTCTGTTAAAATTGTATCTTAATCGCCTGATACGCTCAGTTATATGTCTTGAGTACTATACTTTTCCAAACTTAATAGCTCCTTTTAGATGTTCTAGTGATGCTCCAGAACAACATAGGAAGGTATATAGTGGGACGTAATCTGCATACGGATTACTTATAGAGCTCAGCAACGTGATTTCTGATTTAATTTGGGTGTGGGGGAGATTTCTTCCGCTGGAAGCTCTTGGATTTTTCTAAAATGAAAACTTAATAGTACGTAGTCCAGAAAAGCGTAAAGCTCGTACTTTATTGTCAAGTGTTTCTAATCTTTATTTAGGTGAGGAAGATAGGTGTCCACTTTCATACAGTTGCTATTTCGATGGCTCATTCCTTACGAAAACATTAAGTCCATAAATGATGATTCAACTAACTGATTAAAATGTCTTCCCGTAGCACCTCATATATTGTGATAAATGAGGTTTGGAAAACCCATATAAACCATTTTTTAAACAGTTGCCTAACTAATTTGATAAAGGCATGAAATCTTAAGTTTGCTTTCTTTTCTTTGATAGATTTTGGAATTACTGCAAAAACTCAAAGCTATATTTGAATCAAAATTATCCCCCCCCCCAAAAAAAACACACACACAACCTTTCCATATATGGAAATTGCATCTAGGTGTTTTTGTTCTCCGACGTAAAATATTTTTGTTTTAACAAAACTGTGATCGAGCAAGATTCCGTCCACAGTCATGCGGCTTTTATTCGCATAAAAGTCTTAAAAAACTGCTAGAAATCTTGCTAATCGTCGAGACACATTATTAAAACTTGAATAATGAGGTTGACCAAGTTCTATTTAAAACCGGTTATTCTTGATCGTATTACTCTAGAATTGATATACTTAATATCATCTCATGTCGGTACAATCTACGCAAGACTTCTGCTCTAATCTAGCAGGATTATAAAAACATTGTTTGGTATGTTAATAATCAACGAGCGAAGTTCAGAACTTTACAGACATTTATTTTTAATCGAAAACAATTTTTTTCTTGTCAGGTTGAAAAGCGATGCTCCAAATTCAAAGATCTGAAACTCATTTAATACCAGATCAGAATTTCAAAGGATAGTACATCATTAACCGAATAATTAGTCTCGAATGTGACTATAATCAGAGAAAACTGTATTTGAAATTCGAATGAGCCTCAAAATTTACCTCTTAGTACCAGATAAGAATGGAGAAGACAACTTATAATCGAACAATGCTATTTGTCTCAAAGTAAGTTTAAAAAGTTATTTCAACAAATGTTAGATAAAAGGAAATAAAATTCAAACAAGGATTTAGATATAATATTTTAGTAATGTGTCAATATAATATGTTTCTTCCTAAATGAGACCCCAGTGGCTCAGCGGTAAGTCTGAAGATTCATAACGCTAAAAACCGGGTTTCGATCCCCATGGTGGGCACAGCACAGACAGCCTATAGTATAACTTTATGCTTAACAGCAAACAAATAAATTTTCCTAAATGATACTATTCGCCACAAGAGAGACAATCACCAGGTTGGTGGGGGAGAGGGGACATTAACCATGACACGGAATTCCAAGGAATGCAGCTTCTTAATCGAGACGATGATGTATAAGAACTCAGCCACGAACCTGATTGAGTACAATAAAAAAAACTGTTATGCCCCACTGAATTAAGGTCTCGCTATCTAAATTCCACGAATAAATGCAATTGTATGAACTTATTTGTATTTCAAAAGATTTCAATTTTACTTTATTAATCTATTAATAATACATTAAACAATCTATTTCAAACGTATGATACATAATAATTAGATAGCGTTTAATTAAGCGTAACAAAAGTTGAAAAGCACAGTTTTTTGAATCCAGACAAAAAAAAAAAAGTCTGTATTGAGGCCACTATCATTCAAAGTTTGGATAATACACATGAAATATTTTACTACCCGTCAGCATATACGTGTTCGAACAGTGAAAAACAGTTAGTTTGACTATATTAATATTAAAGCCACTGATTATCAAAAATTTCGAATTCCTGTGGTAGAGATCCGCATGTACTTTTCACATTGGTGTTGAAAACTGAGTATGAAAGGTGGATTAGATGTTCATTTAAAAGACCTGTTTATCGTCTATTGTTAGAATAATGTTGCCAGTTTTTGGCGCGTGTATTATAATTGTTGTAGTTCAAAACAATGGCTTGTTTTGTAATTGAATAAATCTATAAGGTAAGAAAAACGAATATGGGTATATACAGGAAACTATATTTTCTTCTTTCTAGATTTTTTATTGGACTTAAAACTTAACTTCGTACCTTAATGCAAAAAGAGCTCGTATTTACTCCATGAAATATACAGTTCTAGGTTTTCGTTTTGGTGATTGTGTGAACCACGTAGTCTTAATACAACAAGTATATGCATTGTTTTACAAAATTCGATTAAGTTTGTAAATTTCCAGTTCTTTCTCTCATAAACAGCAAGAGTTGTTCTACATAATTTTCTGGCTAGCGCATGTGAGTAATATTACTTGTTACCACCACATAATGAAGGTCAATGAACGTGAAAAAAACATGCGTCATAAGAAATTGCTCGACTCCACCCTAACGACAGAGGTATTCAAAAGGAAAATATCAGGTACTGGCTTAACACACAAATAGAATATTTTTAGCCAAAGTTCGTCCTACTTCATAAAACTATTGTTTCATAGTTGACCAGTGTTTTAACATACTAAATATGCTTCATTGTTTTACGAATAAGAGGAATGTGAATCCACCTATCTTGACCAACTCGTGTTTTACCAGCTTCCAAGTTGAGCTGTACTAGTTAATTGTATAACCCATCCCCGGAAGTTATAAACAGGTTTCACCATAATTGCAACAAGTATTTGCACGTATGATTTGCCGAGTTACAAGAATGGGAATTATAATTATGCTTGAGCAACCATAAATAAGTAGTCAAATATGCTTTTTTTTTGCGATAAATTTAAACCTGTCAAAACGCCCAGGCGGAACAAAGTATTTGGCACATGTGCCCACATTTTGAACTCAGAACTGGAGAAATTATTATAGATTATAAGGAAACTTTGTACGGGGATAAAATAATACAGGGTAATGTATAAAAACATATTTAGTTGAAAAATTACATTGTGGTTAAACGTTTACAATAAGACTGAGTATTAACATAAAACATTAATTTTTAGTCACAAATAATAATGTGTGTACTTCAATTGGTTACGAGATTGTATAGGTTTTGTTTTAATGTGATCTAATAGAATAAAAGACAATAGTTGAAATTTACAAAGAAAATGAATAACAAAAATGAAAAATAAAACGCAAAAGAAGCACAAGGCAACATTATAAGTAATTAAATCCAGATTTTGTATTGAACCGAAAGAAAAACAAACAAAGTTAACAGTAGAAAAGAAAAACGAAAATGTTGAACCAACGCGAGCAAATTGATGCATAACTACGTGGCTGAAAAGTTCCTAAACATTTCTCTGTGTATAGACCCAGAACTTATTATCATCCGGCGGTTCAAATTTTTCGCCGTAGGTATAAAATGATAAGGTACACATTGTATTATTGTTATTTTTCCATGTTTATGAAGAGTTTCCCACCCATATCCTCATAAAAGGAGTTTTGTAGACTGTACAGTACAATTCTTCATCGAAGTAAATACTTAGTATTAGCTTCTGATCTAAGCAAGCTACCTACATAGATCAAAACCAAAAATCTACCCCGTAATGAGCATAACCAGATTAAATGTAGATTAGTCGCAAATCCATATACTAAGCTAACAATGCAAAACAATTTCCACGATAAAAGTGTAATAAAAAATATTAAACATTATAAACTTATGTATATTAAATATTTATGAAAGGGACATTAAAAAAAGAATAGCGTATTCTTGTAGTCCTTCCACGAGGTTCAATCATGCTTACTCTATACAAAAGAAATACTGTTTTAAGAAGCCACATTTCTACATCAATTAATCGTTTGTTTGAAATGTTAACTACTCACTCAAGAGCAAAGAAAGTCTGGTAAAAATACAATAACAAAAGAGTAATATGAAACAAAATTTCTAAAAAAGAAACAATTCGTTTTGATTCAGAATTATTTATTCCATATCGAAATAAGACAAAAATTGCTAGATTAAGAGTAAAATTAAGGTGGTGAAGTTTGTCATTTTCAACAACTGTAAATAAAAACTGTTGTCTTATTCAGGTACACTGATGTCCAATAGATAAGTTAAAGTATCTCCAAAACATGGGGTCATAAATGTTAAATGAAGAGTAAATTGAACACGGGCAGCAAAGGAAAAACAAAACAAGCAAGTACAAGTGAACAAATAAAACAGTCTTTATTTACAACAGCATTTATATGTTTCACCTACTGGCCAACTTCTAACTGTTTGTATTCAAATTATCTGCTGGGGCTGTACAGGCTTTTGAAACATTTGTTCAGGACAAATACAACAAATATTATACCGCACTTTCAAATCAAACAACATGTGTCTTAGTGCGGTATCCCATAATCCATAAATTACTTAAATCAGTCCACAGTGGTATGTCTGCGGACTTACAACGCTAGAAACCGGGTTTCGATACCTGTGGTGGG